ATGCAAAAAAGAAAAAAAAAACCTAAAACAGCAATCAATGATATGATTCCTAATATTTTTGTACTACACTCAGATTGGAACTTAGTCCTGTCTTTATCAGAGATGCTGCTTCCATCAGTTTATGGAGGGGGAGTCCTGAAGATGGGTTTGGGGTATCTCTGACTTTTGCCTGCTCTTGGATCCTGTTTCTTCCAATTGGTTGTTTCACCCAGCCTTGATGTAAGAGTTTGTGACTGATCTTATTGTGTCAAGTTGTCCCTTTGTGGGTTGAAATCCCTTGGAGGCCTGTTCTTTCCTGGGGGATGAGTTGGGGGCCACTGGGGGATGGATTGGAGGGTTGAGGGCAAGTTAATGTAATAGGGATGTCCTTTTGAATGCTGTGAACACATGCTTCTCTTATTGGTTGATGAATAAAGCTGTTTTGGACATTGGAAAGTAGGATGTAGCCAGGGAGGAGGTTTAGGCAGGGTGAACAAATTAAGAGAATGCTGGGAAGAGAAATGAAGAGGGTAAGTCACAGAGAAGACCCCATGTAGGTGTTGAGAAATCAAGAGGCTTGGGAATCATCAGGGAAGCCAAGACAACATGGCTTATTCTTTCTACAAAAGAAGAAAGGATAAGAAGAGGACAATGTAAAAGCACATCCAACAACAGAAAACCCAATATGACACCACCGGAGACTAGGAACCAGACACCAGGAAGACCTCAACATAACGATGCAGATGAACCAGAAGAGAATGACCTTAAAAACATCTTCATGAAAATGATAGAGGGCCTCAAAGAGACATAAGAAAATCCTTAAAGAAATGGAAGAAAAAAACAAACCAAAAAATACAAGATATCAACAAATCTTTCAAGAAAACAGTTCAAGACCTAAAAATGGAAAAAGAGACAATAAAGAAAGAACAATCTGAGGGAATGCTGGAAATACAAAAGCTGGGTAAATGATCAGGAACTACAGATACAAGCATAACCAACAGAATACAAGACATGGAAGAGAGAATCTCAGGAGTTGAAGATACACTAGGAGAAATAGACTCATCAACCAAAGAAAATCTTAAGTCCAATAAATCACTAACACAAAATATCCAGGAAATATGAGTTACCATGAAAAGACAAAACATAAGAAAAATAGGTATAGAAGAAGGTGAAGAAATCCAACTCAAAGGTGCAGAAAACATATTCAACAAAATCATAGAAGAAAGCTTTCCCAACCTAAAGAAGGGCATGCCAATGAAAGTACAAGAAGCCTACAAAATAGACTGGACCAAAAAAAAGGTCTATTTGCCACATAATAATCAAAACCCCAAACATACAGAATAAAAAGAAAATATTAAGAGCAGCAAAGGATAAAGGTCAAGTAACATATAAAGGCAGACCTGTCAGAATCACACCCAACTTCTCAATGGAAACTTTGAAAGCCAGAAGGTCCTGGATAGATGTCCTACAAACACTAAGGGAGCATGGATGCCAACCCAGACTACTGGACCCAGCAAAGCTTTCAATCACTATAGATGGAGAAAACAAAATATTCCATGACAAAACCAAACTTAAACAATACATATCCACAAATCCAGCACTACAGAAAGTCCTAGAGGGAAATCTCTAACCCAACAAAGGTAACCAGACTCAAGAAAAATATAGGCAATAGATAATCCAATTCTACCAAATATGAAAAGAAACAGGAGGGCGAATTCCACACACAATGACACCACCACCAACAAATCCAAAACAAACAAAAACCAACAATCAATGGACATTAATATCCCTCAATGTCAATGGTCTTAACCTGCCCATAAGAAGATACAGGTTAACAGAATGGATACGAAGACACAATCCATCATTCTGCTGTATACAAGAAACACAACTCAACTTCAGAGACAGGCGTTACCTCAGAATATAGAGTTGGGAAAAGATTTTTCAAATGGGCTCAAGAAACAAGCTGGTGTAGCAATCCTAATATCTAATAAATTAGACTTCAAACTAAAATCAATCAAAAGAGATGAAGAAGGGCATTTCATACTCATCACAGGAAAAGTCCATCAAGATGAAGTCTCAATCCTGAACATCTATGCCCCAAATACGAAGGCAGCCACATTTGTAAAAGAAACATTACTAAAGCTCAAATCTAACATAAAACCACACACACTTATAGAAGGAGACTTCAACACTCCTGTTTCACCACTAGACAGGACCACCAGACAGAAACTTCACAAAGAAACAAAGGATCTAACAGAAGTTTTGACCGAATTGGGATTAACAGACATCTATAGAACATTCCATCCAAACACAAAAGAATATACCTTTTTCTCAGTGCCACATGGAACCTTCTGTAAAATTGACCACATACTTGGCAACATAGCAAACCTCCACAGATACAAAAAAAAATGAAATAACCCCCTGTATCTTATCAGACCACCACAATTTAAGATTAGAATTCAACAGCAATACAAATTGCAGAAAAACTACAAACTCATGGAAATTGAATAGCACCCAATTG